ACCACAACAAAGAGTAGCCCCCACTCAACGCAACTAGAGAAAGCTCACAAGCAGCAATGAAGACGGAACGCAGCCTAAATAAATAAATAAACAAACAAATAAATAAATAACGATGACTGGAAAATAGAGCCACTGGGTTCTATATAGTGCACATACCATTTTTTGTGTGTTTAGATACTTGACCTTCACAAAACCTTAAAGTAATAAATAAGATGGTTTAGGTCAGTGTCAAGGGTTGAATTCTGCCCCTAAAAGATATGAAGTTGTAAGCCCCCTTATGAGTTAAACTATATCCCCTCAAAATTCGCGTGTTGAAGTCGTAACCCCTATTAATCTCAGAATATGATGGTATTTGGAGAAAGGCTTTTTACGGAGGTAATCAGATTAAAGTGAGGTCATAGGATGAGCCCTAATCCAATATGACTGGTGTCCTTATAAAAAGGGGAAATTAAGATACAGAAACACACATGCACAAAAGGATGACACTATGAAAAGACACAGGGAGAAGACCGCCATCTACAAGCCAAGGAGAGAAGCCTAGAACAGATCCTTCCCTCACAGCCACAGCAAACACCTCCCTCCCCACCTGTGAACATGACCTAATTGGGAAACAGGTCCTTTGCAGATAGTCAAGTTAAAATGAGGCCATACTCATGAGGTTATGGTCCCTCATCCAATATGACTGGTGTCCTTAGAAGGAGAAGAAAAGATACACAGACACAGGGAGAACCCTGTGTGAAGACAGAGGTAGAGACGAGTGATGTGTTTACAAATCAGGAGATGCCAAGGATTGCCAGCAACAGCCGAAGCCAAGAGAAAGGCATGGAACAGATTCTTCCCTTGAGCCTTCAGAGGGAGCATACCCTGCCCGACACCTTGATTTCAGACGTGTGGCCTCCAGAACCATGAGAGAAGATATTTCTGTTGGTTTAAGCCACTCGGTACTTGCTGCAGGGGTACTTGCTACAGTAGGCCTAGGAAGTGAATACCGTCAGAATCCCCAGAGTCAGGTTGGTGTGGGAGTGGCTTCTTAAGCAAGGGCTCACAGGTGAAACGATGAGAGAGAGAGCGGTGTGGGGAGCAGAGCGCGAAAAGGAGAGTAAGGCTGCTCAGCCAAGTTCCACAGGTGGTGATGTCCCAACTCTGAGGGGGGCTCAAGTGTAAGCGATGCCTTGGGGTGGGGTCACCCGAGGCAAGGGAGCTAGGGTTCCTGCCCCAGCGCCCCATCCGTTACAGGCTGTAGACCACGCCAAGGGCCTCCACCTGCAGGCAAGTGGGGTCCAGTAACTAGAAGGTAGTTCTCCGTAAAGTTGCAGCACACTTCGCTTGTTGAAATCAAAAGCACCCCCAAAAGGGAAAGACAAAAATGGTAAAAATGGATGAGAGGGGATCAAGGCAGAGCACCAGCATCATCCAACACATCAAACTATCTGGTCTGTGATATCTGGAGTCCAGAAGTTGGCTGCTAACTCCAGTCCTGCTATAAACATATAAATATTTCTGGTTTGGGTGGTAAACGGCCACAGCCTTGGGCCCCTGCTTCCCCGCTGCTACTTTGGTCCCATCCCTGGAACCCCTGGACTTCCCTACAATCCAGCAACTAAAATGCTGGGCACAGAGGGTGCTCACCAAACACTATGGCCAGTGTTCTTTCTTTTCTTCTTTTTTTAAAAAAATATTTTTATTTATTTATTTGTTTGTTTATTTTTGGCTGCATTAGGTCTTCATTGCGCGCACAGGCTTTCTCTTGTTGTGGTGAGTGGGGGCTACTCTTCGTTGTGGTGTGCAGGCTTCTCACTGCAGTGGCTTTTCTTGTTTCAGAACATGGGCTCTAGGCACGCGGGCTCAGTAGTTGTGGCTCGCGGGCTTAGTTGCTCCGCGGCATGTGGGATCTTCCCGGACCAGGGCTCGAACCCATGTCCCCTGCATTGGCAAGAAGATTCTTTTTTGTTTTTTAATGGATATTTTGTGTGTGTGTGTGTGTGTGTGGCTGAGTTGGGTCTTTGTTGCTGCACGCGGGCTTTCTCTAGTTGCGGCGAGTGGGGGCCACTCTTCACTGCAGTGCGCGGGCCTCTCATTGCGGTGGCTTCTCTTGTGGAGCACGGGCTCTAGGCATGCGGGCTTCAGTAGTTGAGGCTCACGGGCTCCAGAGTGCAGGCTCAGAAGTTGTGGCACATGGGCTCAGTTGCTCCGCAGCACGTGGGATCCTGCCGGACCAGGGCTCGAACCCGTGTCCCTTGCACTAGCAGGTGGATTCTTAACCGCTGCTCCACCAGGGAAGCCTGGCAAGCGGATTCTTAACCACTGTGAAGTCCCCAGTGTTCTTTCTAATTAGTCAGCTATTAAGATTTTGACTATCATTCCCCAGATTAAGCACCTGCTATGTACCTAATCCAGTGATCGGAACTGTGAGGGACAGAAATTTTAGATAATACCTGCCTTCAAGAAGTTTAAATTTGAGGTGAGAACAGATACAGATTAAATAATCAGGAATAATTATGTGCTAAACTCTGTGTCTCAGAGTTTTGGGCTGCTATTTGGGCTGCTATAACAAAAATACCATAGACTGGGTGACAAACAACAAATTATTTTTTTTAAACATGTGTATACTGCAATTTTATTTCAATCACACAAACGAAGTTAGCATGTAGGAAGTTTAAATGAAACAGTACTGTAAAAATAGCAGAGAACCAAAAAATCTAAAACGGAAGTACACCTAAAGCATGAGAATTCAACATTCATTAGTGTTTCATCTTCTTATTTGATTGACACTTGATGTTTGCAAATTTTGAAACAAACTTTGAGATCATGACGACTCTTGTGAAGAGATTTCAGCACCAGCACTAAGATTTGAACATTCAGTTGGTTTGCAATTGACTTGTTAGCCAGTTACATAATATATAGTACAGATTTGTCACAGGTCAGATCACAGTGTTGAAGGAAAGAGGTACCTTCCTGTAATTAGACAGGATCCCCTAAACTGCACTCAGCTTAAGACATCCAATGTACAAGAGCATGAAAGCCATCATAGTAATGTGGCTTCAAGGAACATAATTTTGATAAGGAAAATAACCTAAGCTTCTGTTTCCCATTTTAATTACTGAAATCTCTTAACAATGACAAAACTGTCACATAGGACAGTAAATGTATACAGTAGTTCAATCAAACTTCTTAGAAAGAACACATTTAGCAATCAGGGATAATGCAGGATGACAGGAAATGTAATGTGATTCAGTATTGGTTCCTTTTGTCATTTTACACAGACATCATGTTAATATTAGATCAAGGCACAAAACTTTAGTGCATAAACCAGTTTCTTTTTCAAGATCTAGCATTTTTAATAGATATTTATTGGAGTATAATTGTTTCACAATGGTGTGTTAGTTTCTGCCGTAGAACAAAGTGAATCAGCTATACATATACATATATCCCCATATCTCCTCCCTCTTGCGTCTCCCTCCCACCCTCCCTATCCCACCCCGCTAGGTGGTCACAAAGCACAGGGAGCTGATGTCCCTGTGCTATGTGGCTGTTTTGAGTTCCACAGTAATATATAATTCACGTGAAGCTCAGAATCATGTTTCAGACCATTGAACTTACCGAAGTTAAAATATAAATAGCTGAAGACATGATGTAAAAGATGAAGTACTTGGTTCTGTTAACATATTTACCAATTAAAGCCACAAAATATTCCTCATTATTATTCATGCAAATAATTGAGAAAAAAAGATAGTGCAGAAATTAACTTTAAGTAAAACATTATTCCTTCCCTTCCTCCCACTCCCGTATACTCTGCAAAATCTTTTCCCTGGGACTAGGCCTTGAAACAGCCACTACATATTAGTTTGACATGCATTACTGTCTGCAATTTAAAAAGCTAATTTGGGGACTTCCCTGGTGGTCCAGTGGTTAGGACTCTGCACTTTCACTGCCAAGGGTGCGGGTTCAATCCCTGGTTGGGGAACTAAGAACCCGCAAGCTGTGTGGCACAGCCAAAAATAAAATAAAATAAAACAAATAAAAAAGCTAATTTTGTGGTAGCTGTAATTCCATTATAAAAATGTCCACACACATAAATCTAAAAAAGGTTGAAAACCTACAGTAAATCTACAATATATTGTTTTACATTTGACCACTGGTTTGTGTTATGTAGGAGTCACAGATTTGGTAAAGCATTTGTAACAATTTAGGAAGGCATCTACATCTTTAGATTCTGGGCGAATTTTATGTTTGAATCTACAAAATTGCATGAAGTCTAACTCGAGAGACTTCCTATCGTTCTAAAATTCCTCACTCTGGATAAATCATTTTTAGGACACTCTCTTATAAATATCACCCTGTGAAAGCACGTACCATTCCATTTGTTCCACATCTTATGATCTTAACCTGCGTAGGGCTGACCTCAGTTATTCAGGGAATATCAAATATGATAGGAAGACAAACCTGAGAGAACCATTTACAATACAATAGCATAACTTGCGAAATTCTTCATCAGCCTTCTCTGAAAACACTTCTCAAGCCTTTCTTCTCTTTATCGTAGTGTGGATTGTGGAAAATGTGCGATTTTTCCTCTTGACATGAAAATATTTCAAAGCATGGCGATCTTGCCTGACAGGTTTAGTATTTTCTGCATAACTGATACAGGAACTCCTGTATGACTCCCTTCCATCCTGTTGTAAAGGTCAGAAAAAAGCAGCAAACTGGGAGGGAAATAGCTTATCGCCAGAGTAGTCATGTCTGAAGGCTTTCAAAGTACGTTCGTTTTTCCCTCCTTCCGACTGTTTGCCTCCATTTTCTTCTTACAGCTCACAAAATGTAGGGGGTTTGTTGTTGTTAACAGCTGTTCTTTGTAGGTTTTTTTTTTTCCTTCTCCGGATTAAAGTCCTATCTCTCCTTAGTTTGTTTCTCTGTGCAGTATTTGATTTGCTCAGTTCCTGCCTGATTGCATCAACTGTTAGCTCATCTTTTAGCTTAGTTAATTCTTTTCTCATTTCATCTAGAATGTCCTGCTTCCGCCTGGACTCCGTTCCCCTGGGCTGCGAAGAAGGTGCAGATTTTGGTCTGGAAATAACAGGTGACTTGCTGCCATTCATTGTATTTGTTCTTTCCCAAGGTTTTCTTGTTAGTTCAGGTGTTCAGGTACTTGTTCAGGTTGTTCAGATTGTTCAGGTACTTGTTGAAGAGGCCTTAGAAGTTACAGGCTCTGAATCTTCATTTTTGTCCTCTTTTTGTTCTGTTTCTATTGTTTATCCTTTTTCAGCAGTTCTTCTCCTCCTGGCCAGCAGGGCACTCATTTCTTGCATTAAACCACTACCCCTTAAAGGAAGGGGTCCCTTTCCTTATCTGTTTTAGATAAGGCCGAATTCACACCAATGAATTGGGAAAGAGGCATCCTCCATTCATGACACTTTACGAAGTTTTGCTCCAGCAATTGCAGCTGCAAGTCCAGTTAAAGGGCGGTTGTCTTCAGATGTGGATCCCGAAAAAAATCCAGATGCAGGGAGGGGAGGGGCAGGTGGTGGAGGAGGAGGGGATACTTGATTAGGAAGTGGTGGTGGAGGGGGCGGAGGCCCAAGGACCAGGACGGAAGTGGAGAGGGGGAGGGGGGCCTGGGGGAGAAGGGAGCGCGGCTGATGCCTGGGCAGGACCTGGTGGGAGTGGAGGAGGGGGTGGGGGTGCAGGTGGTCCCAAGACAATGCCCTGTCGGGCTGGAGTCTGCCGGCTGAGAGGCGGCCTGCAAGCCTGGCTCAGAAGCAGAGGAGTCTCCCTGCAAAGAGTTTGGAGAAGTCTCCTCAGAGGCAGGGGCAGCAGCATTTGATGTTCTTTCCAGCTGCTCCCTTTCTAGCTGCTCTTGTGGCTCTCGTTCTGGCCTTTCCCGGGCCCGTCTCTCCAGCCTCTCCCTCTCTTCTCTCTCTCTCTCCAGCTGCTCCTGTTCTAGTCGCCCCCTCTCCAGCCTTTGTCTTTCTAACCTCTCCCTCGCCAATCTCTCCCTTTCCATCCTTTCTCTCTCCAGCCTTTCCCACTCCAGCTCCTTTTGTTGTTGCTGTTCTCGTAGTTGCCTTCTTTGAATTTCCAATTCTTTTTGTGATGGGCCATTCTGAACATGGGCAGGTAGCTGTGAATTTTGTCTAGGCAATGTTGGCCCTGTTTCCTGTGAATTCAACACTTCTAAGGCATGCATCATGGCACTTGCGAACATTGGCATTTTCTTTGCTGCCAAAGTTGAGACCATACGCCTGTCTAGCGTCCCGCCATTGGTGGAAGGTCTGTGTAGCTTGATTGTACTTCAACCCTTTAGGAAAGGCACCGTTTATCACGACCTGATGGTCCTGAACCTTCCTGCCCACCACTCTGAACGTGTTGCTGCCTGTATGATGATATATATGAACTCTCCTGAACCCAGCTGAACCACCAGCTGGCACCCACTTTTTATTGGCATCATCATAAACCATCACAGCAGCTCTTGCCTGACAGATAATCTGTCCAATTATTATTTTAAATATATCATGCTACTTCCTTCTGGTCTGCAGAGTTTCTGCTGAAAAATCAGCTGATAACCTTACGGGAGTTCCCTTGTATGTTATTTGTTGCTTTTCCCGTGTTGCTTTTTTTTTTTTTTTTT